AGCAGCCAGTTTGCCTCCTCCTGCTTCCTGACTGAGTGCACGCTTTGCTTGTGTCATGCTCCTGCCGTCATGCCTTTGACATTGTGTTGAAGTGGACTTTCAAACTGAACCAAACAAACACTTCTTAAATTGCTTTTTTGCCAGGTATTTGTTACAGCAGTGAGGAAAGTGACCAATAATTGGTTTTGGTCATATTAGAGAGAGAGCTATGGCATGGTAGACTGAAGCATGTTTTTGCTGTTGTCTTTACTCATAATAAAGAGGGGGAAAGGTTTTACCTGTAGGTGACAAAAGAGTCAGGACAAGGAAAGGCAGATGAAGTGAGGGTGTGGATGGATGGGGGGCTGATTTTCAGTGGGAAGGAGGGAGGAGGGAGGGAGGGAGGGAGGGCTTTGAAGAAGCCATGAGAGGACAGAAAAAGACTTAATGAAGTAGATACTATTAAAGGTTTCTACTCCAGCCAGCAGATCCTAGTTTAGCAAGTTTGAGTTCTTCAAGTGCATAAGGAATGAGGAAGAAGAAAGTTGGTAATGGGTGAGATGATCATAGAGTTCAGTTATCTAAGGAATTTCCTGTATGGTTTATTTTAAGTGCATCCACTGTGTTGCTTATTTTAACTGCAGCTATTTTAAACAATTAACTTTTATTTTAAAGCTGTGTATGTTTGATTCCCTTTAAGTGGTCTTCATCCATTGTATAAGACAGGGATGGCAAATGGGTTTCATATCATATGTCAATTCCCAGAGCCATTAGTTAACAGGGAGCCTACTGTAGTGAATGCTGGTCTTAGTTCTGTGGACACATTCTTACTTGTGACCCATTTTGTTTTCTCCTTGGACATGGTAAGGTGATTGGTTGGTGATTATAAGGGAGCTATAAACAAAATAACTGGCAGTAGTAATTTTCTGCAAATTTGCTATTTAAATTTATAGTTTTTATGAGTGGAAACTAATGGTGACTTGAAAGGCTTTTTTCAGTAAGGCCGTTACACCAACATATGGCCTTTTTGTCTGTCTGGTTTTAGATTTTTTGGGGAGACAGGGTCTTTCTGGCTAGTCCTGTCTGTCTTGGAACTCTGGAGACCAGGCTGGCTTCGAACTCAGAGATCTACTGATTAAAAGCTTGCACCACCAGCACCCAGCCAGACATGGCTTTTGAATATTGTAAGTCAGAGAAAAATAAAAAAAAATTTTTTTTTCTGTTGTCAGGGGTAAGGTCTCACATAACCCAGGTTGGTTTCGAACTCAATGTGTAACTAAGGATAACCTTGAATTTGACACTTCTGAATTACTCTTGAGTTGAATGCTAATATCATAGGTATGCACCACCACTCCTGGCTGGTAATTTATATTTTTTGGATGGAGCAGAATATAGAAGGCAGGCCTTGGTGTATGCTAGGGAAGCACTCTACTAACTGAGCTAAACTCCACAGCCCTCAAGAAAATGAAGTTTAAAATTTAGCTACTTTGATGGGCTGAAGAGATGGCTCTCAGTTAAGAGTACTCACTGCTCTTATAGAAGAAATGAGTTTGAAGTCCAGCATCCACACATGGTGGCTCACAACTGTCTGGGCACCAGGCATACATGTGGTGTACGTATATACACACAGGTAAAACATTTGTGCATTTAAAATAAAAATTACTCTCAACAATTTCTTTAACTTTTTGAGATACATCACTTTTTTATTGTTGCCAGTGATCTACAAAGTTTGTTTTCTCAGTATCATTGCTAGCACCTGTAATATTAAAAAAAATTGAGATTATATTTTAAATGTATTTCTCCTTTTCCTTTGCTCCCCCCAAACCTTTCTCCTATATGCCCTGCTTTACTGTAGATTCATGGCTTTTTTTTTAAAATCAGTTGTTATTACATGTGTATTTGTATATGTATATACATATGTATTCCTAAAATAACCTGTTGAGTCCATATAATGTTACTTGTATGTATATCTTCGGGCTCACCATTTGGAACTGGACAGCCAGTTGTTATATTCTTTCCTTACTTTAAATTTAAAATGAAGGCTCTGTAAAATACGGTCTTTGCTTAAGTGACATTACTGTTTGGGCAAGACTGCATTGTACTTTACTGCATCAGAAAAGCAAAGCAGCCAGCTACTGGCACACCTTTAGCTCTGGCTGATAGGACTAATCCATGAGGTCTTCACCAAGCCTCAGACTGCTGCCTCTCCTCATCGAGGCTGGAGAGAGTCCAGAAACTGTCTCAGAATGCTGCCCTAACCTCAAAGTGACCGGAGAATGAATGCCAGCTCTGAGAGCCCGTTTTTTTGTCTTAAATATCTCTCATGAGTCCTGGGATTAAAGGCGTCTGATCCCAAATGCTGAGATCATCTTTGTGTGAGCTGTTTCTCTTTAGGACTGGATCAATTTCGTGTTGCTCAGTGTGGCCTTAAACTAATTAAGAGATAGATCTGTCTATCTCTTAATCCTGAGTCCTGGGATTAAAGATGTGTGCCTGGCTTGCTTCTGTGGCTTGTGGCTGACTTTGCTTTCTGAATCCTCAGGCAAGCTTTAAAAAAATCATAAATAATATATCACCACATGTGTGGTCTTTAAATAGAAAACTAAAACAGGCAGATGAAATTCTAGAATATAATGGATGACTGAAAATAATGATTTTTATCCAAGATTAAATCTACCTGGCTTTGTAAACAAATGTTTAGTTTGCCTTTTTAATTGTAGACCCCCCCTTCCCCCAGTTCTGAATTTTGATTCTAGAGTAAATATCCTTCACATTCTAGACAAGTGCTCTACCATGGAACAAAAATTCCTAGCCTAGATTCTGTGTTTTAATGCAAAAAGACTTTGCTTTTAATAGTGTGGATGGATGCTTCTAGTCAAGATTGTACTTGTATTCCTAGTCACTAAAAGAGCAAGAAAAAGAAACAAGATGACAATCTCAAAGGAAAAAGTAAATTTGTTTGACACAGATAGCAGTATTGTTTAAACATCTTAAGTAATCTCTAAAAAGTGGCTAGAGTTAATAAATGAATTTAGAAACATTAGAGAATTACAAGATCAGTGTATTAAAGTCAGTTATCTATAAATTTAGCTGTACTCTCAGGACTCATCAGAATAGTTCCCAACTTCTTTTTAAAAATTACTCTCCTGGGCTGGAGAGATGGCTCAGCGGTTAAGAGCACTGACTGTTCTTCCAGAGGTCCTGAGTTCGATTCCCAGCAACCCCATGGTGGCTCACAAGCACCCTGAATGAGATCTGGTGCCCTCTGCTGACATGCAGGCACAAGACTGTATACATAATAAATAAATAAGTAAAATCTTTAAAAAAAAAATATTCTCCCATCCAGTTTATTCTCATTATTGTATGTACTTTGTGCTTAAGTGTGAGGGTGCCAGTACCATAGCTTGCATGGGGAGGTCAGAAGACAACTTTGGAGCTGTTTTTCTCCTTCATCTTTAATGAGATTCAGGGAATGAAACTCAGGTCACTAGGCTTGTACAACAAGAACTTTTACCTATTGAGTCATCCTGCCAAACTTATTTGGGCTTTTTTGTTTGTTTGTTTTTAAAATTAAGTTTATTTAACACCCTGACCATAGTACCCACTCCCCATCCACTCCTTCTCTGTTTCTGTTCAAAAAGGGGCAGCCTCTTCACGGGTATTAACAAAGCATGGCATATCAAGTTGCAGTAAGACTAAGCATGATCCCTTGAATTTAGGCTGGGCAAGGCAATCCAGTATGAGGAATAGGTTCTCAAGAGCCAACCAAAGCATTAGGGACAGCCCCTGCTCCCATTGTTAGGAGTCATACAAGTATACCAAGCTGCATAACTATTACATATATGCAGAGGGCCTAGGTCGGTCCTATGCAGGCTCCCTGATTGTTGGTTTCTATGAACCAGGTTAGTTGATTTGTCAGTTTTCTTGTGATATCCTTGACCCCTCTGGCTCCTACAATCCTTCCTCTCTTCATCAGGATTCTCTGAGCTCAGCCTAATGTTTGGCAGCAAGTCTCTTTATCTGTTTCCATCAATTAATGAATGAAGGCTCTGGTGACAATTGGGTTATTCATCAATCTTATCACAGGAGATGATCTGTTCAGGATACATATTCACAGGTGCGGGGAATCTTAGTTGGGGATCATCCTTGTAAATTGGTGAGAGTTTCCCTTGCATCAGGTTTCTATCTAACTCCCCAAAGCCTCCCTTTCCAATTATCTCTTTTAGTACTTTCCCCCTCCACCCATCCCCAAACCTGATCTCTCAAGTTCCTATCCCCATCTACCCCTGATGGCTAAGGATGTTGAATATCTCCTTAAGTGTTTCTCAGCCATCTGACATTCTTCTGTTGAGAATTCTGTTTAGGTCTGTTCCCCATTTTTAAGTTGGATTATTATTATTATTATTATTATTGATGCCTAGTTTCTTGAGTTCTTTATATATTTTGGAGATCAGCCTTTTGTCTGAAGGATGTGGGGTTGGTGAAGATTTTGTCCTGGTCTGTAGGCTACTGTTTTGTCCTATTGACAGTGTCCTTTGCCTTACAGAAGCTTTTCAGTTTCAGAAGGTCTCATTTATTGTCAATCTTAGTGTCTGTGCTACTGCTGTTCTATTCAGGAAGTTGGCACCTGTGACAATGCACTCAAGGCTATTCCCCACCTTCTTTTCTATCCAGTTCAGTGTAACTGGATTTATGTTGAAGTCTTTGATCCACTGGGATTTGTGCAGGGTGATAGATATGGATCTGTTTGCATTTTCTATATTTGGACATCCAGTTATGCTAGCACCATTTGTTGAAGATGCTTTCTCTTCTCCATTGTATATTTTTGGCTTCTTTATCAAAAATCAAGTGTCTGTATGTGTGTGGATTTATGTCTGGGTCTTTGATTTGATTCCATCGACCAGTGTGTCTGTTTTTATGCCATTACCATGCTGTTTTTATCCTCTATATCTCTGTAGTAGAGCTTGAGATCAGGGATGGTGATACCTCCAGCAGTTCTTTTATTGTGCAGATTGTTTTAACTATCCTGGGTTTTCGTTTTTCCTTATAAAGTTGAACATTGTTCTTTCAAGGTCTGTAAAGAAACAAACAAAAAGGTCAGCATGCCATTTGGCTAGTTAGATATTGTTGACTTGAGCTTTTTAAGTGGGGAAAATGACTATAGAATGTGTATTTAATGAATGTTAACTAAATATTGATATTTTTGTTTTTATTCCAGGCTACAGACAAGAGAAAAGCTCTAGAAGAGACCAAAGCATATACTACCCAATCTCTAGCTAGTGTTGCTTATCAAATAAATGCATTGGCCAACAATGTGCTCCAGTTGCTGGATATCCAAGCATCTCAGCTTCGGAGGATGGAGTCTTCCATCAATCATATCTCACAGGTACCAACTTGTAAAGTCTTTTAGGGTAATTGTTTAGTCAAATGACAGCATGTGTCTTAATTAAAGTCATACATTGCTTAATGATAAGGGTACATACCTGCTAAGAATTGTGTCCTAGGAGATTTTGCTGTGGTGTGAACATTGTAGAGAGCACCTACATCAGTCTTCATGGTATATAAGTCCACCCACTTTTCTCTATGGACAGTTGATGTTGTGTCAAGAGTGGGAAATGCAAGGTTCACAAGGCTGTTGCTGGTGTAGAAAAAAGTTCTTAAACTAATAAAAAGATAGTATTAGTCAGGGCTGGAGAGATGGCTCAGCAATTAAGAGCACTGGTTGCTTGTCAGAAAGAGGATCTGGGTTTAATTCCCAACACCCACATGGCAACTCAAAACCGTAACTCCAGTTCCACAGGATCTGATACCCTCACAACCGACATAACATGCAGGCAAAACACCAGTACACATTAGATAAAAAAAGATATCATTAAAAAAATTCTTACTCCTAAAAAGAAAAACAGTATTAGTAATATTCTTGAATACAGTGGTAAAAAGTATTATAAATATATAGACTAGTAATAGTTTATTATCTGGTATTATACAGTATAAAAGTGTGACTGGCAGTACAATAGATACATTCACACAGTCACTATCATGAAACATGACAATTCATTGTTCTTGGACACTATGATATAAAGTCCTAATAGACCTCAGGTATATATACAGTCTCAGATAAATGTAATGTAATGATGGTATAGATAACCTGGGAATATGGAATCCTTACCTAGTATTTTAGTGTTTTATTGATTGATTGTAGTCATGATCACTCTTTGTTTTGAGTTGAGTAAGCCTACTGTTTTGTTATGTTTTGAAATGGTCTCATTGTAGCCCTGGTGGTTCCTGAACTCAGATCCAGCTGCCTTAGCCTCTTTTTTTTTTTTTTTTTAAATGTATGTATGTGTTTTGCCTACAAATATGTGTGTGTGTGTGTGTACCAAATGAGTCCCTGGTGCCCACAGAACCTAAAAGAGGGTATCAAATCCCCTAGGATCGTAGTTACAGATGATTATGAGCTGTCCTGTGCTTCCTGGGGATCAAACCTGGGTCCTTTGAAAGGTGGACTAAGAGCTCTCAATGACTGCCCATCTCTCCTGTCATCGTGCATGCATTGTTTTTGTTTTTGTTTTTTTAATCTTCCTTTTACATTTGTAGGAAAACAACACAAAACCGAACATTTAAGGTGTTTTGTTTTGACTAGGAATGGAGCTTAGGGCTTCATGTATCCTAGTTGAGCATTCCACTACTGATCTGCACACCCAGTTTCTTGTTAAGCTTTATTTTGAGGCAGTCTTATGGTAAACTGCCCAGGCTGGTTTTAAACTCTCCATCATTCCACTGAGTAGCTGGGATTACAGTTAATAATATCTCACCATGCTAGCCTGTTGACTTTTGTTGAGGTAAACTAAATTACATTTAATTAAAGCTTATAATAGTATCTTGCCAATTTTCACTTATTCTCAAGAGATCATCAATATAAAGAAAGGGACCTGTGCTTTTGTAAACCTTCCTCCTTCCCATCCCCTGTTCTCAGGTTTTCTGTCATTATAGAATAATTCATATTTTCTAGAATTTTGTGTGAATGCATTCATGCACCTATCTCCTACTCCTTTCATTTTGGTTCAGCCTTTTTCACACAGCATACTTACTTTGAGATTTACCCATATTGTTCCCATAAAAAAGAGTCACTGCTTTTATTGTTAAGTGGTTTCTATTGTTAATCTGTTTGTGTATCTGTTGTTTGAAATACAAGTTGTTTTCGTATTTTACCAATTACATATTAAACTTTTATGAACATTTATATATAGATCTTTCCATAGTCAAATGCTTTTCAATTTTAAAAAATTATACTTTAATTTATTTTTGTGTGGGGGTGTGCATATGTGCCTTAGCATATTATATTTGGAGGTCAGAGGTGAATTAGCAGGTGTGGTTCTCTCCCTTCCAGCATGTGGGTCCTGGAGTGTACTCTGGTTGTCAACTTGGTAGCAGGTGCCTTCATGTTCCGAGTCATTTTCACTGGTCCTGCTTTTGTTTCTTTAGGGCAGATATCTGTGTGGAATGAATAGATGTCTGTTTATAAGAAATTGTCAGATTGTTTATTAAAGTGGTTTATGTCTAGTCTGTGAGAGATCTTACATGCATCTATGGAAAGGAACAGGTTTTTGTTTTATCTCACTGTTTTTTTTTAATTTTACATTATTTTAAATGTTAAGCAGTCTTTGCTGTCCTGGGATTAAATTCCAACTAACATATATTGCCAATTTTATACATTGTTAGATTTAATTTGTTTGAATTTTAAGGAATTACTTTTATGGTCTTGAGAATTATTGATTGGTTATGTTTTGTAGTGTTTTTGGCTTTGGTGTCAATACTGTAATTCTAGTGTTATAAAATGATCAGTTTCTTTTTAAATTTTGTTTATTATTATGTATACAACATTCTGCTTCCATGTATATATACACACCAGTAGAGGGCACCAGATCTCATTACAGATGGTTGTGAGCCACCATGTGGTTGCTGGGAATTGAACTCAGGACCTCTGGAAGAACAGCCAGCGCTCTTAACCTCTGAGCCATCTTTCCAGCCCAAGCAGTTATTTCTTGAACCTAGTCTTTTCACTTGGATGTGTGTGTGTGTGTGTGTGTGTGTGTGTGTGTGTGTGTGTGTGTGTGTGTGTGTGTGTAATACTGATTAAATTAAATTAAATACGTGTTTGTAGTTCATTTTATTACTCTTAACCTCCCATCCTCTCATGTCCTTCCCACTCATGTCAGGCTTTTTTCCACATTCATACTTTTTTTTTGTTTTGTGGTCCTGTTTTTAAAGGGACTATCTATGTTACCATGAGTTTGTTTTGTTTTGAGACAGACTCTTATTAGCTGGCCTGGAACTCACTGTATATCTTAAGTTGGTCTTAAACTCAGGGTAGTCCTCCTGTTTCAGCTTCCAGAATGCTGGCTTTGATTTTTTTTTCTTTTCTTTTTTTGAATAAGATGATTAGGACATAGGCATGAGCAGAGGCAAGACTGTGAAGGCATAACATAAAGAGGAAACGGCCATCTGTAAGACAATAAGAGGGCTTCAGAAGTCAGCCGTGGTGATATGGTGGTCATAGATAACCAGCTGTTAGAATTACAAGACATTACATTTCTATTGTCACATTCTTTAGTACTTTGTGATGGGAGCCCCCAAAATTAGTTAGACCATCTTTAAGGCTATCACTTTTTGTCAGCAATTATGGAATTTTTTTTTTTAAAAAGGGTAAGGTTTTAGTATATAATCTGGCTGGCCTCAGACTTGCCATCCTTCTGCTTTCTCTTCTCCAGTGCTTGGATTATAGACCTCTGCCATTCATTGTGCTATGCTGGATGAAAAGTTTTTACTAAAACTGATATGGCAGAAAGATATACCACAAATTGGTAATTGCCATTGAAAATGAGAATAGTGTGATAATCAGCAGCACCTAAAGACCACACAAACATTTAGTAACAGTCACTTGATTGACTAGTTTTATTGTTATGGAAATTTGACCTGCATCTGTGTCTGTGCACCATGTGTCTTTAGAGGCCAGATGAGGCCATTGGAACCTCTGGAACTGGAGTTATACAGGTTCTCTGTAGGTTCTGGGTACTGATCCCTGGTCCTCAGGAAGAGCAGGCAGTGTTCTTACCCACTACGCCACGTCTCCAGCCCCAGATGTAGTTGGTATATTAAAGATGACTTTTCACAGCTGATATTTTCATAACTGATTTAGTCCACTTGGTAGACTTGATCCCCAGTACTGCATAAACCAGGCAAGTTAGCATAGGCCTGTGATCACAGCACTAGGGATATAGAAGCAGTAGGATTTGGAGTTCGAGGTCACCCTTGACCATGTAACAAGATGAAAGACAGCCTGAGCTATTAGAGACCTTGTCTCTAAAAAGAAAAACATGACGAAACAAAAAACCCAAGGCAACAAATGTTAAAAGCAAAAACTCAGTAAAGAATTGTTTTCTTCTTTAAAAGCCACCCAGATTGTCTGCAGCACTGCCTCTTGCTCCTCCTCTGTCTTCCTGTCCTATTTCTCAACCCATTCCCTCCCTCCCTGTTTGAGACAAGAGTTTTATGGCACCCAGGCTGGCTGTATGCTGGGGGTATAGGCATGCACCATAATGCCCAGATACTAGTTTCTGCTGCTACAGTACGTCCCTTTTTATTGTTTACTTATAAATTCTTTTAATTTCTTGTGCACATTTGTCTGTGTGAGGGTGTTGGATTCCCTGGAACTGGAGTGTGAGCTGCCATGTGGGTACTGAGAATTGAACCCGGCTCTTCCTCTGGAAGAGCAGCCAGTGCTCTTAACCACTGGGCCACCTCTCCTTTAATCCTGCAAATCCTTTTCTAAGTGTTTTCAGTTGGGGACTTGAGAGTTTGATAATCTTTAAAACTGAAGGAAGCTTACAAACAACTTGGCATGCATATCAACATTTCCAAAGTGCAAGAGATCAGTCAAATTTATTGTCTTTTGTTTCCCAGCTACTCAGGAACAGTTAATTGCCTGTAGTTTCTGATTGAGAAAAGTCTGTCTTCTAAATTGACATTGGTGCTTGAAAACTTGTTATGCATGAGAAAGTTTCTAAGGTGTAAATAGTGCAATGCCAGAACTAACTAACTTCCTTCCTTCCTTCCTTCCTTCCTTCCTTCCTTCCTTCCTTCCTTCCTTTTTCTTCCTTCCTTTTTCTTCCTTCCTTCCTTCCTTCCTTCCTTCCTTCCTTCCTTCCTTCCTTCCTTCCTTCCTTCTCCTCCCTCCCTCTCCCTACCCCCTTTCTTTCTTTCTTTCTTTCTTTCTTTCTTTTTGAGAGGGGTTGTTGTTGAGACAGGTTCCACTATGTAGACTTGTCCTGCCTGGAACTCACTATTTAGTCCAGGCTGGCCTGGAACTCAAGAGAAATTCTCCTGCCTCTGGTGGGATTAAAGGCATGGCCACCATGCCTGACTTCTTATAACTTATATCTAAAATCAAAACTGTACAACATTTTATGTCTCAGCCTTGAAATAATTTGAAAATCTGAATGGGGTAGTTAAAACCACTGTTTTAAGCCTGTTTGTAGGTCATCCACTGTCAGCGTTTGCTATTTGAGATTTCAGGTTTATGGTTGCTCCCCACCAACTAGCTTAGCATGTAAGCAGCTTCTCTAAACTTTGCTTATCTTTTGAGAGCAAATATAGATAAAGCCCTCATTGAGTAAGTAATTCAAACTATTTTTGGTAAAATGTCAAATTATTACAGATTAAAAGAGTCCTGTCCTCTAGGAGTCTCTTTTGACTTTTTTTTTTTTTTTTTTGCCATAGACCAAGTATGGCAGCACAGGTCTGTGATTCCCAGCTACTTAGGAGTCAAGACCTGGGAAAATGGAGCCCATAAATGAGGTAGACCAGTGTCATTCAATAGCCAACTTTATTCAAAACATCAGACAGTTTATACTCTGAGGGTTAAGAGGAGTCACTTGAGTAAAGTGTCCAATCACAAGGGCAGGCTAAGTGCTGTCACTTAGCTGCAACCCAGCCCTTGGTTTTCCAGATTGTTCTCACTGTGTAGCTGAAGCTGCCCTGAGACTGTGCTACCTCTACATCATACTGCCTGAGTGCTGGGAGTCAGGCTTCCCTTGTTCCTCATCCACTAACCTTCCTTATTGCCCCTCTTCCTCATGCCCTCCTTTTTCTTCCCCCTCCTCCCTCTTTTTCCTCCTGTCTTCTCCTGATACTCCTCCCAGCTCCCCTCTCCTCTCTTTTTCCTTTCTCTCCCTTTCATACCTTCCTCTACCTTTCCTTTCCTTTTTTTCCCTTCTTCATTTCTGCTGTCTTCCCTGCTGCCTTCTGTGGAGTTATTTTTTTGAGGCTGGCTTGGAACATGGTCTGTAGCCCAGGGTGATCTCAAATTCACTGCACTCATTCTGCTTCCGATGCTTCAGTGCCAGAGTGTGTGTGTGTGTGTGTGTGTGTGTGTGTGTGTGTGTGTGTGTGTGTG